ATCTTTTTATAAATAATTCAAAAAAATTCAAAAAAATAAATTAGAAGAGGGTAATCCAAAATCTCTAATATAAAATGAAAATTTCTATGAAGAAAGATAATCTACCGTCTTTAAGAAAAAAATCAGTGTTAAAAAACTAAATTCTTTGTTTGAAGGTGGTTAATTTGCAACCTTTAAAATATAATAATAGAAGAGGTAATAATTCATTTATTTTTAAAATAAGATAAAAAATTATCACTCTTATCAAATTGTCAAGGACATGGATCTTCAAAAATTGAAAGATCAAGATATTCTTGTGTTACTCGAAAAGATTAGATAATTATTTAAAGATGGTATAATATTAAATTAGAATAGATATTGCCAAAGATAATAAGACTAGAAAGTCTTGAAATAAGACTAAAGATTAGAAAAGCATTGACAAGAGTGAAGAAATCTTTACTCTTGCCTCTATATACTATCTAATTAGAAGTTATGTAGTGATGTTTTATAGGACCTTCAATACACATTGACTTTATAAGACACATATCTTATCTTAACTTATAAGATAAGTTTTTTATATGTATGCCACATAATTAGTTTGTTTGACAAGCTACCAACATGTGTGACAAGTGGTTAACTTCTTGACCAAATTTTTAACCTATCAACCAACTATAAACACAAGTAAATCCAAAATTACATCTATGAAGTTTTTAAGAAGATTTTCTAGAAGATGTTATAAAATTAATATAATTTTATCCACTTTTATTTAATCATATAGATAAAATTGGACAAGCAATAATAATTTGGATATAGACAAAGTTTCTTATAATCTAAGTCTTTTGAAAGAAGACTTGATTAGAATTCAATGGCATGAAGATTGCAATATAGAGGCAATTTATGAATGGCATACAATCACATATTTGACTTTAATATTGAACTCTACAACTATTGTGCTTGATCAAAGTTTAGATGATTTTTTTTATAAAAGCCAAGTGATTAGTGATTTATAAAAAAATCTCACAATCTTGTACAAGCTTCAATAAGGGATTATTTCTTCAACTATCTTTGCAATAGAAAAATATAGGATTAGTTACCAAATAATATGTTTTATTAGAATATCAATTTGATATTTTATATATAGTCTAATAGAGCTAGGTACATAGTTTGAAGGCCAAATCAAAGATCTTCCTTGACACAACAAATATATGATGAGCTTTGATATTTTGGTGTACACAAAATATATTTTATGTTGTACAAGAAATATTAGTAGACTAACATATATTGATAGATAGCCACATATATTTTTCAATGTGAAGTATGTAAAATATGTGAATTAATTAGATTAATTTTTAGCACTTTATTATTTTATGTGAAGCCATAATATATCATAGAATTGGGCAATTGTTGGTCATTGGACTTTTTTGTACTACTTCTTATTATTCCATATAGAATTAAATATATGTTAGTAATAGTTGAACATTTTAACAAATACATTGAAGTTGTGGCTTTGTCAAAAAACTCTTCAAAGTTGGAAGCTATGGCTTTTCTTGATTGTATATTGGCACATTTTAGAGCACTTTTTGAAGTCTTAAAAAATCAAGAGATATAAGTTTTTGGAGTTTTGGAGGCCTTATATACTAAAATTTCAATATATTATTACACCACCTCTAGAAACCATCATAAAGTAGATGATTTTGTGGTGTCATATTATAACACAACTATTAGATGAAAGAAAAAAAAAGATTATATTATAGAGGAGCTTATATAAAAATATCTTTGTAAATTATCTTATAAATATAGATAATAGAAAAGTAGGTAGTAAAAATTAATAAATGTTAATGTTTCATTCTTTTAAAAGAGGCTTCTACTTACTTTGTAAGGCTATAAATCAAGAAAAATAAAATATATTAAAAATATAAATTATATGTAAATCTTTAAGAAGAAATTAAGAATAGATTCAAATAAAAATTATTCCAAAATACCAAGAATTGATACTTAAAGAAGATCAATTATGAACTAGGATCAAAATAAAATTCTAAAGCATAAAATTATATATTGTAGGCAATTTCAAGATTTTTAATTAATTAAAAAATAAGGTTTGAAAAAAAACTAGTGAATTTTTTTTTAAGTATGGATTTCATATAATTTAGAAATATATTGAGTTTTTGAAGGCTTTTCAAAATGAGATATGTATTTAATGGTTTTGGATTTTGAAAAATAAATAGAAGTTTACAATTTTGAGTATTATGTGAGTGTTGTAGCATCTTTACAAGTAAAAATTTGATTTTTTTTTTATTATGCTTATCTTCAATGTATTTGAAAAATTTGATGTCAATTGAATATTTATATTGAAAGATTTGAGAGTTTTATTGGATTAGAATCTTGGATATTAGAAAATTAGGATTAGTGAGGGTTTTTACAATTATGAAAAATTTGCTAGTTTGATCATAGCAAAAATTAGTGAGCACAATATGGACTTAAAAATCTACATATTAGCCAAGTTTTGAAGTAATTAAAAGGTTCATCAAGGAGAAATTGCTACTAAAAGATCAACATTTAGGTTGGAGAAGGAGGATAGCTAATATCCAAGAGGTTTAAGAGCTTTCTTTTTTGATTGGTATATTTGATTTTTGTTAAATTTTGTGTGCTTATTAATTGCATTTGAATTTAAATGTTTGTCAAATTTGAATTCAAATAAATGATTTGATTAGTATTTATTGAGATTTTAAATAATTATAGAAATTAGTAAAGATTTAGTTGAATTTTCATAAATTTATTTAGGATTTGTTTAGGATTTTTTTAAAAAATTTGATTATGGTTTTATTAGGATTTAGTTAGGATTGATTTATGGATTACATTAGAATTTAGCTAGGATTAATAAAAATATTTCATTAGAATTTGGTTAGAATTTGGTTAGGATTGGTTTAAGATTTGTGTAGGATTTATTTAGGATTTGATTAGGAATTGGTTAAGATTGATTTAGAAATTGTATAAAATTATTTTAAGATTATATTAAGATATGGTTAGGATTTATTTAAGATTTATATTTTTAATAATTAAAAAAAATTATTTGATATTTTTTAGGATTTCTTTATTATATATTTTTATTTGGTTAATTTATAATTTCTTTATATTTTTTTAATTTATTAAAAAATTATTTTGAGTTTGATTAAAGATTGATTAATATTAATAAATTTTAATTAGATTTTTTAAAAAATTCTATTAGAATTTTTAGGACTTTTTTTTGTTGTTAATCCTATTTTATCTTCCACAGCCAAGTAGTTGGTGCATTTTCAAGCAAACTTCATGGAATACAATAATAAAATAGATTGTTTAGATTATTGAGTGTGATTTATAAAAATATAGATTATTTTATGTCAATTACTATAATTAAAATTTAATATTATCATAGAATGTAATAGGTAACAGCTTCAATAGGTAGATATCTTTGATATCTTATATTCTTTATTAATTATGGTATGGACAAAATGTCAATCTTACTAAGTTCAATACATGAAAAACTAGCTCATGTTGTGGATTTAGACAATCTTAATATTTGGGTTCAATATCTACATAATTAAGCAAAATTCTTTAAGAGATCCATGCTTATGGCTATAGAAAATAATCTATTATTCAATATTGTATTATTTTATGATATGCTTGTATTTATAGTAGAATTTATTGATCTCAATTGTAGAGATTTTCTAAGAAAGATTATATGTATTTGCAATGTGAGGTGCATACTATACTTGATGTAACAAAGGCGCATAATTCTTCTTGTTAAAGTTTTGTTGCCTAATGATATTTTATTACTTGAAGTTAAAGGTGGACAAGAATGTTGAAAGCAGCAAAAAATTGTCTCCTTGTTATCTTTCTATTGATGATTTTGTTTTGTACATACTAAACTAGCAATTGTGCTAGGTGGTCTTCTTTATTTTATATGTGGTAAGAAAAAAGGGGCTATAACTATACTATTATGTGGTCAATGCCAACGTGGATGGTATATGACATGCTTGACACTACCGCTTGTAACTCATCCTTCAAGAGATTGGATTTTTCCTTGTTGTAAGAAGTCTAGATATGCTTCATTTGTTGACAAAGATTGAAAATTCCTTCTTTTGTGTATGCCACATGTTTTAGTGGTATAGTTGCTATAACATTGGCTTGATTGAGTACAATTCTACAAGATCATCATTGTAGCAATTATCTCATATTATGTGTGTGTTGTTGTCCTAGTAGAGTAGAAGAGCTCCTTATCAGTTGGTATGGAGGTACTTGAAAGTATATTGATTGTGCATTTGTATTTGGTTTAGATTACAAACTTTATGATTAATTTATATCACTCAATGTGTTGTGTATAAGGATCTTTGTATACATAATAGTTATGTAATGTGGCATTGAGTACAAAATCTTGTTAGATGTATGTGATTTACTTTTAGTTTAATGATTTTCCATCCACTTTGTTTAGTTTTTTTTTTCAGTAACTTGACTTTGTTTGTGTCAACTAGGGTTTGAAGACTCAAGTAGAGAGATCCTCTTGACCTAACATTCTTGCTAAGTCAAATCTAATAAGTAGTTTTTAAAAGAGAGAAATCTAATGTTGTAAGGATTTAATTAGCTATGGTATTTTAGCCACTTAATAAAGTTTTCTAGTTTTTTCTACTTATTTGTATTTGTAGATTCTCCCTTTGTGGTTTGAGAGATAGCTTAACTTGATTGAATATAGATTCATTATCTTTCTTTGTAAGTGTGTTTAAAAATTGTGCATTTATCTTTGGTTTAGATTGCATATTTTATGTACATCTAATAATATTTGGTTTAGATTGCTAATTCTTTTCAATAATAAAATCTACAAACTTAAACTATTTTTTTACAGTAATTGTTGTACTATAAATCTAAAATCTTTTAAATGATGATTTGAATATATATATATATATATATATATATACACAAGTTTTAACTTTGTATTTTGATCAAAAAATCATGTACAACAGTCATGTACAACAGTCAAAGGCGGTATCTCCAAAACATTTTTATTCCTGCTTTTATCATTTTCAGTTGCAACTCACATTGAATGTACATTTGAAGCATCAAACCTACACTCAAAAGCACATTTCATACAGACAACATGATATGTGACAAGTTGCAAGACAGTTATTTTTGTGAGAATGATACCAGTGGGCTTACGATCACAACATGCATGAAGAAAGGGTTCCGATTGTACGCGACAAAATATGAAAGAATTGCATCACCATGTGTGAGGTTACTCGCAGGGGAATGGGTTGGTCAAATCCAACATCAATACCGACATTAATAATCTAGAGCGCATGAGCCACACATCAGCATGTTTTGCAAGTAGGGTTTCGCCTTGTGTTGCTTGGTTTTGCTTTTCAAGTGCAGGCTACGGCGATGGTCGCAATAGATGGGTCAAAAGGTTTGGGCTCGGTGGATTGTGCCGGGCCGTTGAGCCGCGTCCAGGAGCTTCTTCCGAGCTTGAACCAACTCGTCGAAGAGTTGATTCACTTGCGTCGAGACTTTCTCTAATCGCACCTGTGCAGGGAGAATTGAATCCAGTGAGAAGGGATTGTTTTCTGCCTTCATGAAATTGTTGTGATTGACAAGTTTCGGAACAGATCGGGAGTTTACCTGGAGTTTGTCGAGGAGTTGCATCTGTTGCTGGGCTAGGCTTTCGAGGACTTGCGTCGAGGGCTCCTCTCCGTCGCGCTCCCGTGCTGCAAGCTCCTCAATCTCCAGCCTCAGGTCCGTGACGCAGAGCTCCGCGAGTTTGAGCTCCTCAAATGCGATCTGGCGGTTGTTGCGTCGCGTCCCGGAGCGCTCCTCGCGTAGAATCTCGAAGAGCACCTTGCGGAGCCGCTCCTGTAGTCTGCGGAAGGATGGTGACCAAAGGGCCTCGTCGCCGCGGAATACCTCGAGGTTCTGTTGCCACATGGTGGAGGCGGGGTGGGAGGACGGTTCTCGCTTGAGGGCCCAGATGAGGACGCTGGTGACGAAGTCTGTTGTTTCCTGTGTCGCTCGCATGACTAGCGAGAGCGCGACGGTGCCCCTCCCGCTCTTGTAACTCCCATTGCGAGTCGGTGGCGGCTGCACACTCGCAGCGTTTATGTCATCCAATGAAACTTTCTCTCCAATGGCAATGCTCATTTGCCTCATAGGGCCGTCGGCCGAGCTTTTAACTCGGAAATCTGTCATTTGTGTCGTGAGGAAGGAGGAGTTATCCGCGGCGAGAGGCGGGATTTGGACCAATTGATTGAGCTCGGATTCGCAGCTTTGAAGCGCAGCGATTAGGCCTTTGTTGGATGCGCATTCATGAATACCCGCCCCGCATCTGCTTCAGAGTGGTAATCAATCAGTGACAATCAGTGATGAGGGTCAACCTTTCAACGAGGATGACACTCAAAGTAGAATGGTTAACGATTTTACCTCTGAATAGTTTGCACGACAAGCTGAACGCACATCATGAAATGCTCAAACCTCGACACCGCAGGTTTGAGGACGTTACAGACGTCCAGGAGCTTCATGCTCTCCACCATGTATTCCTCAATCCAGTGCTCGTGGGTCTTTTTGACGTCCGGCATCAGGGCGCGCACTTCCTCGAACAGGATCATCATGTCCGAGAACGTGGACCGCATGAAATCGACCGCGAGTGAGACCCACTCCAGCGTCAGCCATTTTGGCTGAATCGCTTGCTCCAGCGCATCCAATTTATGCGACAGAGAGAGGTAGAATACCTCGCACTTGTCGACGCGCCGGTCGCTTTTCGAGTTCGGCCCTGCCGGAGGCTTCTTCTGGCTCGTTTTTGATGAACCCCACGTCGCCATCAATCAATTGTACCCTCAGAACCTCTCTATTAACTGTTTCCTTCTGCGCGAATTCGAAAGAAATCGATCAGAATCTAAACAAGATTGCAGGAGCGTGAGGCTCCTCTCTGCTCCCCTCATGCACAGAAATCACGTATCTCGTCGTTAAAAAATAAAAATGGAAAAAAAAAGAGAAGAAAATTCTTTGTAAACTGTTGCGAAGTCTGGATTGAACCAAATACAAGCGGGAGCGAGGTCTTATATGAAGCCACAACTTAAGGACTCCGAGCTGTTTCCCTTGCAGTAACAAGAAATCTTCCTCTCATGCTTTCATGTCTTCAAAAAATCGTTCAATCTAGTGCATCATCAGTCTCTCAATGCGTCTCGTCGTGCTTCTATATCACCCGGGCAGGCGGAATGAGTATGACGTTCGTCAATGGCACCGTAGGATAAGGTACCGCGCGGTTGAGTAAGCACTGAAGTAATCGGGACATAGACGACAGTGACCTCCACTCCATCGACAAAATTGAATTCCAACTAATTCTTATCCCAGTTCGCTCCAACACTCTACCTTCAAGACCATCAGACTACAGTGAAAAATCATCTCTGGCGTGACTTGGCACCACTCAAATGACTTCACCCCCTTCTGAATGTAGTGAAAAATAGTACCGACGTGCGTAATCCGCCAGCATCCGAACTCGCAATGATGGAGGCGGATTCCGACGATTCCGTTGCCGCAAACGCAAGCAAAGGGTGATTGAACTAGGGCAATCGGTCAGGCCGGTCCTGAATTGCGAATACCGTGGTGGTCCGAGGATTGCAGGAAGCAAAAAGAGAAATGCTCTAGAGCGCTACCGAATTGACTATTTTGGGCTTTGGTTCGTCTCTTTCACTCTATGTGCTCGGGCCGCGGCCGCGCTGGCGGATTTTCCACTCCAGCGGCCTTGACACTGTCAACAGCGCGGAACCCAATCCTCGAATGTGGCACTGTCCAATTGATCGCAAAGCCGTCATCATGGAGACCAAGTTACGCTTTCTCGGACAAGTCTTCAACCTCGCAAAAAAGTGTTCTTCACACAAAAAGAAGCATGCACCAGTGATCTCAGTCTCCATGCAGAATGAGGTCATCTTTCTGGCCTTGATCAAATGCTTCTTTGCAACTTGATAAGCGTTACGAATTGGGTCTCGGTTTTAAACTAAGATTTCTTTTAGACTCGGAGATCCAATTGATTATATATGTGTGTGTAGTGCTTTTTTTTTTTTTTTTTTTTTTTTTTTTTACCGGTCCGAGTTGCATGGCCGGTGGGGGGGAGGGGGTCTGGTTATACCGGAAGCACACATGCAGGTGCCGTAGCAGCGAGGAATTAGTCGAGAAACATGGTCGATGATTTTGAGGGTTGGGAAAATAAAAAGGAGGGATTGATCAGGACACTTGAGCTTCTGTCACAAGTTTAAAAGTAGATCCCAGGATTTACGTGTTCGGAAGCGACGGAGTCATCACATTCAATCGTTAGATTAGACGCCGGACTCTTACACGCCCTCCGATGAGGATCAAATAACTGAATTTGTTAACTCAAACTGAACTTCGTTTCTCCATCACCATGTCTCTGTCATGGTCACGTCACTTCGGGCGCTAACCATGCACTGCAAGTGCTGCATCACTCATCTCCTCTCCGCGCTTTGCCTCGCGGATCGGCTTTACGTTTTAGAATGCATGGCGCGGGTGCTGACAGCTCCAGCTTCCATCGCCACGGCGCAAATACTTCATCTTCCTTGCAGCGCAAGATATTGTTGAGTTTCGAGTCCACAAGCTCTTCGCCGCGTGCAAAAGCAATCCCAGCGTCAGTCTCCTTCTTTCCGGGCTTCTACTTCACGGCGGTGCATCGCCTCTTCATTCCCCGAACCCATGCGTCGATTCAGCATGGCTAGTGCTTGCTGGTCGTGGCTTCATTCTGTTTTGCAAAAATAATCCCAAGCAAGCAAGCTCAAGAAACAAAAATGAAACGGGATAAAAAGGAAAAAACACACGTGCTCATTAAAATATAAAAGAAGGAACCAGCAAAACAAGGAGAAACGACGTAGATCTCTGATCTAAAAAAAAAGATAAGATACTGCTGTTGTTGTTTAGTTTCCTTCAAAAGATGGCGCATGCTACTTGTGTTGAAAGCGATGGTGTCTCTCTCTCGATTGCTCTCAACATAAGGACACAGTTCCAATCAGAATACATACCTACTCACATAACTGTGTGTATATATATATATATATATATATACATATATAAACAAGTATGTAAATCTGAAAAAATGATAGTTGTTGATAGCCAGAAATGCAGTTATCCATACAAACTGGGCTCAACCCAATGCCACAAAAGCCAGTTTGTTTTTATAGACACACAATGAGCTGTTTGTGTAATGTTCATTATCTTTGTTGGTGTGCAAAAAGCCATGTATTTGTAGTTTGTAAGATTTTTGGAGTTTGACACGATTCATCATGTTGAAGACCCACCTCTTTAAAACAAACAAAACAATCTATTAGATAAAAATATATTCTCCTAACAACTTTTCAAAGTAATTAATGACAATTATTAAAGCCAACTTATTCATATTAAATTTATGTTAATAAGCATTTATATTTATTAATTTAATATTAATTTAAACATAGTTTTATCCACATATATTCTGTAGCTCTACATTATCTTACTCTATATGTTTTAGTCCTTGCAAACCTTTTTTTAATTATTTTTTAGATAATAAAAATATAAAAATATTTTATTTGAATCTAATTTCTATTTATCTATGCCACATAAAAAAAATAAGTATAAAATTTCATTTAATATCAAAACAATTTTTTTTTTTTTTTTTTTTTTTTTTTTTTTTTGTAAGAGTGTATACAAAGATGTGTGGCACCTATCGATGTAGTAAAAGAGAGGCGTCTACCTAGCGGTTCTCTAAAAACATTATAGAAATCAACTAAATTAATTTTAAACATCAAAGTATCAAAAATAAGTTCTTTAAATTACAATCTATTTTTTTAACTAATTGTGTTTACTTAAAAGTGCTTATTGAGCTCATTTAATATTTTTTTATGGCTTATTTTAAAATATATAATTTTTTGACTATCCAAAAATAATTTAGCTTAATAAGGCCCTAAATAAATCACCTTGAGTAATTTAAGAAAATTTTGTAGTTATTTTTATATTAAATACGTTATATGTACTTATAATTAATTATGATTAAAATTATTTTAATTATTAAGAGTATCATTAAAATATTTATTGATTTAAAAATTTAATTTTGATTATGTATAAAAAAATCATAAGTATGAAATCCTTAATAAATATTCTATTCTTACAAAATCCTTAAAAAATTAATCACTCAATTAATTGTATGGAACAATCAATTCTTTTAAAGGTACAAAAAACAAAGATTTTGTTGAAGAAAAATAAATTTTAAGTCTTTAATAATCTATTCATCAAGGCATAATTCTATGCAAATTAATACAACTTAATTCAAGCAATTCAAAAAAATTAAACAAACAAATGTCACTTTAAGGAGAAAAAAATGTCAAATATATATATATATATATATATATATATATATATATATATATATATATATATATATAAAGGTGAATAATTTGTAATTTTTTTTTTTTTTTTTAAGAAGTAGAATAATCTACATTTCTTTTAAACAAAACTACATATAATAAGTTCATATTCTTGTCAAATAGTCAAGATCATATAACTATTTAAAACCTTAAAGAAATAATATACTTGTGTGTTGTTAAAAAAATATTGTTGTATTACATATGTGTGTAGTTTGGAAATGCATCAAGCAATTGGTTATTGAAATAAACTTTAATTTTAAAAAAAATGAAAACCTACCAATCCTAATGAATTTTAAAATAAATTCCAATTAAACCTTAACAACATTAATTAAAATCTAGTTAAATCCTAAAGGAATCTTAAAGAAAATTTAAATAATCATAAATGATTCAAAAAAAGTCTTTAAAAAATTCTAAATAAATCCTAATTGAATCTAACCAAATTTTATGTAATTTCTAATAAATTCCAAAAAATATTAAAATAATATTAATTAAATTCTAATTAAATCCTGATAAAAGCTTTAAAATATCTTAAATAAATTTCAATTAAATTGTGACCAAATTCTAGTTAATATTTGAAAAATCCTAAAGATATCTTCAATAAAATTTTGACAAGTTCTATAAAAAATTTAAAATCTCAATAATTTTTTATTAGATTTTTGATCTTGATTCAAAATATTTACACCCCTCAATATAAATATTAAAAAAAATTAAATTAAAAATTTTGAATTGATAGATTAGGAGAAAAAGTTTTTAATTTGCAAGGATATTGCCTATCTTCCTTCTTCAATTTGACCTTAATCTTCCAATGTCAATAGCTCTTTTTTACACCATTAACTTGCTTTATATTTTTTTAATATTAAAAACTAAGTCAACTATCAACTCACACAAAATGAAATTTAATCCAACCAGAATATTGCTCAAATTTATAGAAAATTTCATTGATCTTTAACATTTTAAATTTTGATATCCTAACCCACTTGAATTTCAATCGCCTTTTAACTAACCGTCCCATTAAGCTCATGTTTAAAATACATATGCAATACAACTACTTTATAAAATTTAAAAATCTTTATTTTTAGATCTATTACTAAATTTACAATTTTTTTTTAAATAAAATTTTTTACCACAAAAAATCCAAAGTAATTTAAAACAAATATAAATTTACAAAGCTCTTTTAAAGTTATTATCTACTCATATTCTTCCAACTTAATGCTTAAAAGACTTTATCAAGTCTATTCTTTAATTCCATTCTTTGGTCAACAAAAAACTAAAAAAAAATACTCACAATTGATGTGTGCACCCTATTTTGTATCTTCAATTCTAGTTTTGACATTGGTTCACAACCGGTCTTCTTTATTGTATTAATGTAAAGATTTTTTAAAATAAATTTTATTAAAATATAATCTTTCATATTATCTTAAGATGCCTATAATATTTTTTTTACTAATATACCTTTTTTAAATTTTTTTATGGCTCCACATATAAGTAAAAACCTTTATATAAAAAAATATATATTAATAATAATTTTTTTTATCACTTTATTATATTTTTCATATTTAAAAATAAATTTCTACTATATTTTTTAATTACATATTTTCATAATATAATCTTTAGTTTTTTTTTCTTCAATAATTGTATTACAACAAGATAACATAAAGAAAGGAGAGACAATTATAAAATAGAAAAGAATTATCATAATTATTGTAAGATACAAAAAAATTATAGTCTAAAATCAAGATCAAAACAAAAAATAGGTATTAACAAGAGTGAAAATAGCCTAAATCTTACCTTCATATATACTAATTACAAAGAATGTCTTGTAGAAGCTTTTTAAAGTCTACAAGGTTTAAAAATAAGTTTTAAGTTATAGATTGCTTCCAATGCAACTTTCTAAATGTAAAAAACTTATTAGATAAGTTGTAAGAGCCACATGGTGTTTCTACATAAGTCTTAATACCTAATTTTTTTATTAAATTTTCTTTTTTTAATAATTTGATTTGTCTTGTTATTATTAATATTTGAATAGAAGAAAGAAAATTGTTCATTAAAAAATATTATGATAAATAGGTTGTTTAATTAATTAATTTTTTTTTGTAACAACCTATTTGAAAATAAAAAATTTCCTAAAAACCTATTACTAAGCTAATTAAAAATCAGCTATATAATTTGGATTATAAAATTTAAAAATTATTTTTTAAAAAACTTATCAACTTAATTATATAATATTTGTATGTATCTCAAAAATTTCCTCAAGACTTCTTAATAAAAATATAATCTTCTAAAAAAACTTTATTTAATTATATTTATTAAAATACTATAGGTATATATTACAAATATACTTTTAATAATTTTTATTTTTTTGTATATTTCAAACAACTACAAATGACTAATTTATATGACTATATTTTTAAGAGAATGATAAAGGGATCCAAATATTTACTGAAGCGACTCACTCTATCTTAACCATCATTGCATCCTTGTGGCTCTTATCCATGTTCTCAACCATTCTCTATTTCTAATTATTGCTTAGGATGGAGCATGGGGCTAGCAATGTCGGGAATGGAGCAATGGTTGGAAAGAGAGAAACGATTGAGAATGGAAATGGAGTTGAAAGAATATGATGATGGTTTAAACATGTGGATTAATTTAATAAAAATTTAAATTGCTTTATCATTTTTCTATTTTCATACTTATAATATAAAATAATAAAATATTGATTGCAATAAAGAAAATTTCTAATATAAATAAGTTTGAAGATGCAACTTAATGATGATTTGAAATGAAGTATTTAAAAATTTTAAAAAATAGTATAGGTATTACTATTCAAATACATAAATAAAAATATAGACTTTAAATATTATAAGATACATAAAAAAAATAATTCATTTTGGTATAAAGTTAGTACAATTAGTAAGTATTTTCAAAAAATCTCATTCTAAATTATCTTTAATACAATGTCATTGCATTGAAGATAAAATAGAAAAATTACTAATATTCTATATATAAGTACAAAATACAATTATATGTATATAACGGTGTGTATTAGTAAAATATAATATATATATATATATATATATATATATATATATTAATAGTATGCATCAAACTTGGATAAAATTTTTGCTAAAAGTTATGTATTTATGATGATTGATGGATCTTTAAACTTCAAGTCTATTTATAATTTTTTTATAATTCTTTCAATAATTGAAATAAAATATATGGCTATTTTTAAAAAAATTAAAAAATATGGTTAAAAAGATTTCATTATTAATTTGATTTAGTACAAGATCAAATTCTATTATATTCTGAAAGTTGAAATGCAATTGTCAAAAATATACCTATAATTACCTAGATAATATGAATAGGTAGAAATAGGTAAAAATAGGTTAATTTGGTAACATCTTTTGACTAAGCTTTTGAGAAGCTTTATAGATGCAATTTTACCTTTGTACATGTTTATAGGTGATTAATAGGTTAGAAACTTGGCCAACAAGTTAGCCATGTGTCACATGTAGTAGTAGCTTGTGGTATAAGCTAATAATATGGTGCACTTATAAGAAACTTGACTAGCAAGTTAAGACATGCGTCTTGCAAATTTGACATGTGTTAGAGGTCCTATAAAACATTGTGATATAGATCTTCGGTAGACAGTATATATAGAGGTAAGAGTGAAGCCTTCTTCACTCTTGTTAAGTCCTTTCTTGCTTCTAGTCTAGTTCCAAGAGTCTCTAGTTTTCTAGCCTTTGGCTATAGCCATTCCAGTTTCTTATTAAATACATATATATATATATATATATATATATATAAATTATTTTCCTAGTTTTTCATTTCTCTTTGATTTTTTTTTTTAATTTTTTTTTTTTTAATATGTATCTTCTTTGAATACTTGTCTTTGAAAACTATAAATTTAATAATGTAACAAGTATATTATTATAAAATAAAATACATATATGTCAAATAATATTACATTTAAGATATTTTTATTGATGGTGAGATTTAATTAAAAAATATAGACACAAAAGGTAATAGAATACATATATGAATAAAACCAATAATGGTTAAGAAATTCAAGTTATAATTAAATTGATCAAGTATGATATAAACTTGATAGATTACCATATATTAATATGTAATATATATATTAATATGTAATATGTAATATATATATATATATATTATATTTAGTCTTATATATATATATATAATATTTAGTCTTATATATATATATATATATATATATTATAAAAAAATATTTACCATGTAATCAATTTTTTATTTTTGAAGTTCTAAATAGATGTAATATAATTATTTTAATTATTCTTTGGTGAAAGAAAGTATGAAATAGCATCATATGTGATATATTGTATATTCTTTTGGATGGATAATTAATATCTTTTATAGACTATTTTTGATAATTTTAGAAACTTTAATAATTAGTTTAGTAGAATTACAATTTTGTGCATGTATCATTTTAGATCTTAATTTTTTAAAAATAAATTTATCTTTATATATGTGTATGTATCTTAAAATAGATACAAAATTTTATTTTAATTTTGTGATTAGATTATATAAACAACACAATAGCTTAAATTCCTTGCATTAACTAAAATATATATTTTTACTCTACAATCCAGTATAATATAGAATTTAACTTGCACTAATTTTTATTATATATATATATATATATATATATTTTTATCTTCTAACTCATACTCTTTTTACTTTTTTTTCATAGATGTCTTCAATTGTTATCTTATAAAATTAATTAGTACTATTGGAATTGTTATTTCAAGTTTAATACACTTCTTAAAGGACACCTTTTGTAAACATTGTTACACATGCCAAATTGCACATCATTTTGATTTTATCACTTCAATCCTTCAAATGATTTTTTTATTTTTTTATTTTATTTATCCTTGTTCTTCTCTTGTTGATTTCCTTTTTCTTTATACTCTATGCTGCTAATTGTTGTAGGTTTTAATCTCTTTAATTTTTGCTACTTGTTTTGCAGATAGTTTGTTTATTAAATGTTGGTATCTTTTTTTTTTTTTTTTTTTTTTTTTTATCGATTAGTTTCAGAATACAGCTTTAAAAAAAAATGTTTTAAAAATGTAATAAAAATTTATATTTATTTGATATATGTGGTTGGATTATAGCAGCAATAAGGAATTTTATAGATATTGTTTTTTAGAATTATTAAATTTGTACAAAAAACTTTAAAATTACAATAAGGCACTAACTAATATTCGAATAGATAAATAAGTAGATGATTTTTTTATTATCTGATAAAAAAATATATTAGTAAAAATTAAATCTATAAAAATATAAAATTTTATCTTTTTTTTTATTCTATATAAATTTCTTCATTATTGTCATAAGATAATATGTAAACATCAATAGAAATTGATGTTTTCTTTTTAAAAGAGTCCTACAAGGATTTTTTCCTTTATTACCCTCTATATTTTTATCTTTAAAAATAATAATATTGAAATTTATTTAGAATAATAACCTCCAATTAATTACACTGAAGTTAAAGGTCATCAAAATAGATAATAAGAATCAATGATCTTTTACCAAGAGAGTATTGTGGAGGCCAACATTTCATCACCTGATGACCAAAGAATATGAAAAACGGAAAAAAATAATTTTATTTTTAGTTTTCGATTAAAAAAACATTAAATATTAACTTACCAACAAATATTCCAGATTAAGGAAGTTGATACCCGTTTTAAAGCTCGGGTGGCAGATGCATCGCCGAACAGTTAGAGGACGAATGCCATTCACTACGCTATTATAGACGATGCAAATCGTCAAACGGATGAAAATGACTCAGAAATGAATGTCGCACTGGAATCGTTGACCGCATCTAATATCATCCACGGAGCTGTTCCCCACGCTGATACACCGACCATTTCCTCGCAATCGGCGCAAGTGGATGAGGAGCGTGTCAGCGTGACTGGCGAACGAGCGGATCATCACTCCCCGAGCAAGAAATTTCAAACCTTCGATCGCGGGGGAAAGCTAGTGATGCCATCCAGTCAACGATCTCTGTCATGGTGACAAGCCCGAAATCGTCTGCATTCGTGCGAAGCCAAGGAAGGGCGGAACATCGGCGAACTACTGTGGGTCGATTCTTGCGGAGAGCCGAGGCCAGCGCGAAATCTAGCGAATTCGCTGGATCGGAGGGAGGAGGGAGGGCTTCAGCAATCGCACCCACGTTCTGATTCGCAAATATCCGCTCTCTGTGGGCCCGTATGTATCCTCTTCTTGCGGCCCTAGATCGGACCTTTTGGTGGTCGAGGCATGAGGGAGGTGGCGTGGAATTCTTGCACTGATGAGATGGGAGGGATTTTCTTCTGTAGAAGATCTTTGTTGCCCACCAGATTGGCTTTTCTCGCCCGCGCTTGCTGCCCTCCTGTCTGCATTCCGCACCAGTCGAGTGGTCCTGGTACTGTACGCAGGATGGCTTTAGTTTAGTACTATTGTCGATGCGACAGCTTCTGTACGAGGCCGGGCGTATAGATTAGTGCTGACTTTGGAATTTTGTAGGTGATTTCAAGGTAAAGGTTGTGACAAAAGGCTTAATCCGATGGATCTCACGGTTGGCTGCATTGGATACGGATTTTGTGTTTGATCTCAGCGTGGCGAATGTAAGCGGACAGCTCTAGGTGGTGAAGCTGTGTGAAGTCCTCGTTCTTTCTTGTGTCACGGAGGCGGAACCCGTGCTGCGCAGAGGTGGTGATTAGCGGTTCGAGAACGGATTCTATTCGTGGATTTGGTGATCGCTTCTGCCGGGGTGGACTTCAGGTCTAAAGGCGACGCGGTCGGTGTGCGGTCCCGTTACTCGTGATCCGTTTCGGTGTTTAGTTCCGGTAAGCATTGGAAATCCTTCTCATCACCACAAGTATAAACGTGGTCATTATCTGTTTTGTGATCTGAGTAAATTTTGCAGTGCTTCTTCTTGTGTCATAATTCTACACCCACCTTGTTAGTTCTGCGATATTGCAACGACTTTCTTTGATAGGGTTTTAATCACTTTACCGTGTCTAAGGCGAAACAGAGCACGTAAAAAAGGCCGAGAGTTGAATACTTGATGCGTTTGGAATTCTCGTGAATGCTCCTGAAGATCCATTTGTGTGTTGCTCAGCGTTCCTCTAATCTCGAAGTCTTGTTTGTCTGAGGTCAAGTCCGTTTAATATATACAACCCCATACTCAACAACTTGGCTTTTGCGATGTATGCGATTGGCCCACTTCTTTCGTTAATAGTGTTCGTTGCCTATTAACATTAGATTCTTTACAACTACGAGTGCTTTTGAGGACAGCCTCGTGCGAGTAATGTTGACTGTTTGAATGTGTGGTTTACATGTTCGCAATCTTAGGTCTCACATATCAGAACCCTAGTTTGTTTCTTCTTAATCTCGTGTGAATGGTCTACGATTCAAATCGTCGTCGTTTACGGAGAGTGTAAACGATCACAAATCGCTGTCAAGACATGTTCTCGTCTAAGTGAAAGTGAAAGCCCTTTATTTTTAATTCCTCCAGTTTGGGCCTCGAAGCGTGGGAGGTTGTTTCGACATCTTTTGCGGGTAGTTGAGGAAGCTTGTGTAAGTTGTCCGCTGGAGCCTGCAATATTCGTTTCACTTAGCTTTTACAAAGATGCTACTTAGTGCTTGAAAGAGCGCTAATTAAGCTCTGAAATCTAGTCTAGACATGAGCAAGGTCTTAAGTTCGGTAACAGTTGGTCCTCGTATTGATGCATTAATAACAGCGTACATCTACTACAATGAAACACTGTTTGTATCAGTATTCTTTAATGTTGACGTCGCTCTCTATAATAGCACCATCGAAGCACACTTCCTTGCTAATCAATATGACTAACGAATCTGGCTGTGCACATGAAAGCCCTCGTACTCACCATTGGTCCAATCTGCTTGCGCCTTCTCCCAAACATCTGGTAAAAAGGACAGATTATAGTTAATAAAGCCATTGCTATGCAAACCTGTTGTCAGCGCAGCAGCAGTTCAGAAAAACATGATAGGTATACAATTGAACTCTGTCAGTCCAAAATCTTCTTGTGTATACAACTCCCGAGTTCTAACATTAACAGCTTACAATGCCAAAACTAAAAGCTGTTTCTGTCATATTTTTTGCTGTAACCCTCACCTTACATATGACAAGCAATAGACTATCTCAATATAACCCTCTACTATGATTGCTAGTGATTATTGGACGTACTACCAATTGTTATTATATTTCCTTCTTTCATGATTGCTTTGTGTTTCCCAGCGTTCCAAACGAGAGTTGTGTTGAATATATATCGGGTTGCTGCTCATGGTGGACAGGAAGTTGTGGAGTTGGGAAGGCTGATGTGGGGACATGAGCACTGAATGGGCAACACATGTGTAGGGGCAGCTAGCAAGGCCGGCTTCTTCGAGTTCCCTCAGGAAGGAGGCTCGCCCAGTCCCTCGGTCACACCGAAGGGCACGCAGCCAGAGGAGCCGGCAGCGAAACCCAACAACCCCTCGCCAGAGGAGCGGAGGAAATCCGGGGCGGGCGTTGAGCAGGAGGCGAGAGCAGAGCTTAAGCCCCAGCTGAGCCTGACGATTCAGGCGCCCGCCGTGATCCGGATCGCACCCACAGTGTACCCATCCGCAGCGAACAGGAGGCAGGAGAACTGCGTGGTGCCAGCCATGAGGAGAGCAGGGCTGAACCTGATCCCGGGGCTGAGCTTCACGCACTCGGTGCTGCAGCGGCAGACCGAGAATCTGAAGGACCTGTACAGGCTGGAGCGGAAGCTCGGGCAGGGGCAGTTCGGGACGACGTACCTGTGCGTGGAGAAGGCGACGGGGAGGGAGTATGCGTGCAAGTCGATTGCGAAGCGAAAGCTGATCTCGCAGGAGGATGTGGACGACGTGCGGCGGGAGCTGCACATCATGCACCATTTATCGGGGCACCCGAACATCGTGACGATCAAGGGCGCGTACGAGGATCAGATGGCGGTGCACCTAGTGATGGAGCTGTGCGCGGGGGGGGAACTGTTCGACCGGATCATCCAGCGAGGGCACTACTCGGAGGCTCAAGCGGCGGAGCTGTGCCGCGTGATCGTGGGAGTCGTTGAGACGTGCCATTCGCTGGGCGTGATGCACAGGGACCTGAAGCCGGAGAATTTCTTGCTATCGGACCAGAGCGAAGGCGCGGCGCTGAAAACGACGGACTTCGGTCTATCGGTATTCTTCAAGCCTGGCGAGGTGTTCACGGACGTGGTGGGGAGCCCGTACTACGTGGCGCCGGAGGTGCTGAGGAAGCACTACGGACCGGAGGCGGACGTGTGGAGCGCGGGGGTGATACTGTACATTCTACTGAGCGGAGTGCCACCGTTCTGGGCGGAGACGGAGCAGGGGATATTCGAGCAGGTATTGAAGGGCGAGCTGGATTTTGTGTCGGAGCCGTGGCCGTCTATATCGGACAGCGCGAAGGACTTGATCCGGAGGATGCTGGACCCGAACGCGAAGCGTCGCCTGAAAGCGCATCAGGTGCTGAGCCACCCGTGGATTGGCGAGGAGGGTGTGGCTCCGGACAGGCCAATGGATCCCGCGGTTCAATCGCGGCTGAAGCAGTTTTCGGCGATGAACAAGCTGAAGAAGGTGGCGATCCGGGTGATCGCGGAGCTTTTGTCGGAGGAGGAGATCGCCGGGCTGCGGGAGATGTTCAAGATGATCGACACGGACCACTCGGGCACCATCACGTTCGAGGAGCTGAAGAGCGGGCTGGAGAGAGTGGGGTCGAACCTGGTAGAGTCGGAGATCCGGCAGCTGATGGACGCTGCGGACGTGGACCAGAACGGGACGATCGACTACGGGGAGTTTCTGGCGGCCACTCTGCACCTGAACAAGATCGAGCGGGAGGAGAACTTGTTTGCGGCGTTTTCGTGGCTGGACAAGGACAACAGCGGGTATCTGACGGTGGACGAGCTGCAGCAGGCTTGCAGCAAGTACAACATGGGGGAGACGTCGATCGAGGATCTGATCCGGGAGGTGGATCAGGACAACGACGGGCGGATCGACTACAACGAGTTCGTGACGATGATGCGGAAAGGGAACGGTGCAGTGGGTCGGACGACGCTGCGGAACAGCCTGAGCCTTTCGGACGCACTGATGAACCCACAGTGAGGAGCGGAGGGTGTGGGACGCGAGATGCCGAGTCAAGTGGACCAGTACTGCATGGTGGGCGATGTATTCCCCTAAGCTTCCAGGAGGCACGCAGCAGGAGCAACAGCAGAGGAAGCGGGAGCCTTGTGCTGGTTGGCCATGCGTGTGTGGAAGAGAGGACGTTGCGATGGATGGTTGTGAAGAGGCTGAGACGATGGCAAGGTGTGTGGGCTGTCGGGCAACGACGGGAAGGCCGCAGACTGGTAATGTACATGAGATAGTGATGCGAGTAGTGAGTAGCGACAGAGCAGCGATTTTGCTGAGAGTAGAGGTGGATCTATGGGTGGATAGGGACGGTCAAGCGGCGAGTGGCTGTTTCTGTTTTGCCTGCTGGGCCGCCGATCGGTCCTGTTTCTGTAAACGCGTGCCGGTGACTGGCGATTTTCGATATGATTGCTTTGAACATTATCGAACCTTTATTTTCCGGTTTTACTACCACAGACTGGCGCTTAGGAATGCATGTGAATGGAGTCTTCTGTTTGTAGGCTTTGTTTTTCTCACCTCGACTTGTAGTTCTTGCTTTCGGATTGCCATTTCAATTGTATTCCTGAGTCGGTCATCGAAGCAGTACCGTTGTGCAGGAATTCGTTCGATTTGAATGGGCATGTTGTTAACTGCATTTTCCATGCCCTAATCGTTTTGTACATCCCAGTTGGTTTTTTTACGTTCCCACAAGTCCTACGGCTGGAGGTATTCTGGCTAAAGTGTCTTCCACTGTACTGGGTTCGGTAAGACATCCTTGCAAGGGAATTGCAGGGATGTCCTCCTTGGTTGGATGCTCGCCATGGTGTAGCCACCTGGGACGCTGTGCAGTGGTGAGAGCAGATTACAGCTCCGATGCTGCCCAAGTTAGATGGAAAGAATAAATTTGTGACTTGCTTCAATCTTGGGTCTCACTCTTTCATGGCTTCTTCGCTTAGGAAAAGAGGACCTAGATTGGGCTTATCAGGGTTGTTTGATGGATGAACCGTGGAGACTTTGTGTATGTCCATAAGTCCTGTGGGTTGCCCCTTACCGGCTACCCCATGGTATGGTATGGTTTGGGTTTTGGGCTGGGCAAAATCCAGATCACTCTAAATTATGTGAGATTCCATCAAACCAACATGCTTTGGAAAGGTTGGTGCAATGGTTGTAGACTCCAACTATATTGGGTGGATCACGTTTAATGTTGGCTGCAGATGTTCTTATCTTGCTTTGTTTTTGACCTCTTCTCTTGGTACTTAGTCACTTAGGTACTTGAATTTTGCAGGCAGGTGTAGGTAGGTAAGAGTAGGCATTTAAAATTTTGTTAAATTGCATAGGAAATTAAAACCAAATAATTTGTAAAATATTATAAATATTTATAAATATTTTATTTACAAAATTGTTTTGAAGTGACTTTGGTTTTTGTGAAATAAAATATGTTTGTATTTTAAAGTATTTTGTGAGATTTATAGCAAATCTATAAGTATTTTTTTTAAGGTTTATGATCATAATTTTGATTAATGTATGTTGTAATTTAAAGCTTGATTGGATGATTTAATTATAGGTTATTGAAATTTAAATGAATTGAAGTCTTGGAAATTAAACTTTAAAAGGTTAATAATGTTTTTTAAGATTTATAATTTTATGTATGTTGGATTGAGGTAAAATTTGGCTAATAAGGAGCAAACTTGAATTTGAACAACTATGCACATTTTGAAAGCAATTGAACAATGAAAACAAGAGATATTGGAGCTAGGAGATTGACATCAAGATTAAAGAAATAGGCTAGATGATACCCAAGCGGATTATGAGATTTTTATCTCATTTAGTGAGTTCATTCCTCTTCAAATTTGTCATTCTTGTTTTTAACTAAGAAATTGAGAGGTTTGCAAATTTTGAGTCAAGATCAATGATTACATTGTTAGTTGTTGAAGTTTTGAATCTATTATAGAATTTGGTTAGTGTTGGTTAAGATTAGATTAAAGATTGGTTGGGATTTGTTTATGATTCACTTGGAGTTTTATTAGAATTTTGTTAAAATTTGATTAGGATTCTTTAGATTTTTATTAAAATTTGGTTAAGATTATTTAGAATTTTTAAAGATTTGATTAGAATTTGATTAATATTTGGCAAGGATTTTATTAGAGTTTGGATAGAATTTGATTAGGATTTTGTTAAGAGTTGTTAAGATTAGATTAAGGCTTGATTAGAATTTAATAAAGTATATTAGAAATTATTTAAGATTTATTTAGAATTAATGAGAATATAATAAGATTTTTTTAAGGTTGATAGGATGTACTTAAGATAATAGAAGCTTACTTAGATTATTTAAGATTGCCAAAGGATGTTTCTAAATACTTTATGAATTTTTTTGGATTATGAATCAAACTTTAAGATAAGTTCAAATCCTTTGATAGTCAGATGCCCAATGCGATTCCAAGTTAGTTTTTAAATTACACAACAATATAGTTTTCTTATGTATTGTCTTATTTAGAAAGACACCAAGTATCTAATTTTAGAAGGTAACTTGTATTTTACAACAAACAAAAAATCTAATAATTTTAATAATATCCTAAATTATCTTTGATTGAATTTTAATAATTCCAATAAAATCTTAATCCATTTGATAATAATGTCAAGTTGAGCTCTCATATAAATTTAGTGTTGTCTAAGATGTAAAGTTGCTGTTACGTATCCAAAGTAACCACATCCAATTGAGATGGTGTTATCCATCCAAAGAGCCTATACTTGTCAACTAATGATATCTACCAAAGTATCTTGATGGCATGGCATCAAAGAAGTGATAAGTAAGGAGATAAGACACTATTATGAAGCCGTCAAAATTAACAAGGATGTAGTAAGGCATCAAGGTTAAAAACTCAAGAAAGATAAGTAAACAAGTAAGATAAACATTAAAGAAAGATGAAAAAATAATAATAATAAGAAAATATGTATATTTAAGAAGAAATTAGAATGACTATTGCTAAAGATTAAAAATCTAAAGATTCTTAAAACTATACTAGAAGCAAGAAAATAATTGATAAGAATGAAGAAGGTTTTACTCTTGCCTCTGTATATTATTTAACTAGGAGCTATGTAGCAATATTCTATAAGACCTTCAACACATTTCCAATTTGCAAGACATATGTCTTAATTTGTAAGACAAGTTGGTTAGTTTGTACTGCAAGTTATCAACTCGTACAACATGTAATTAACTTATTGACCAAATATTCAACCTGCCAATCACCTATAGATACTTATAAAGATGAAACCACATCTATGAAGCTTCTAAAAAGCTTTTCTATAAGATATTATCAAATTATTCTACTTTTAGTTACTTCTACTTATGCATATTATCTAAATAACTATTAAAATAAATATGTATATTCATGACATAAAGTAGAGGAATATTTAAGATTTAAAAAGCACTTAATGGACAATTGAGAAGTAACACAATACTTAGTAGGTCCTAACTAGTAGCACTATAAATTATTGGACCAAAAGCTGTGTAATAACAACTAAACAAAAAATTGGATTTTGACTTTTTTCTTGACTATTGTATGTATTGAGTCTAATCTTGGAAGGTAGTATCTTGTACTTATCAGTAACTTCAAAAGTCTAAGTAATGGTTGCTTAAACTATTTGGTAATGGTATCAATCTTGAATATCCTTTTACATCAAGTATAGTAAAAAATATAAGATTATCTAATCCATTTGGCAATAATGTTAAATTTGAGTACTAAGATAAAGCAATTTCAATTAAAGATGTATGATTGCCTAATCCATTTGGCAATGACATTAGGCTTGAATACCTTCTTAAATTTAGTATAGTCAAAGTTATAAGGTTACTCAATCCATTTGGTAATGATGCCAAGCTTGAGTACAAAGATAGATCAATTTTAATCAAAGATATAAAATTCCTTAATCTATTTGGCAATGATATCAAGCTTGAGTAATCTCTTAGATTTACTGTAATCAAAGATGTAAGATTGTCTAATCCATTTGGCAATGATGTCAACCTTAAGCACCAAGATAGATCAAGTGTAGTTAAAGTTATAAGATTATTCAATCTATTTGATAATAATTTCAAGCTTGAGTACGAAAATAGATCAAATGTAGTCAAAGATGTAAGGTTTTTCAATCCATTTGGTAATAATGTCAAGCTTGAGTACAAAGATAAATCAAGTGTAGTCAAAGATGTGAGCTTACCTAATCCATTTGGCAATGATTTCAAGCTTGAGTACCAAGATAGATCAAGTGTAGTCAAAGATACAAGGTTAATAAATTTATTTGGCAATGATGTCAAGCTTGAGTACTAAAATAGATCAAATATAGTCAAAGATACAAGATTATCAAATTTATTTGGATATGATGTGAAGCTTGTACACCAAGATAGATAAAGTTTTGTTAAAGATGTAATATTGTTTAATCTATTTGATAATGATTTCAAGCTTGAATATTAAGATTGATGAAGTTTAGTTAAAAATATAAGGTTGTTCAAACTATTTGGCAATAACATCAAACTTGAGCAAAAAGATAGATCAAGTGTAGGCAATGATCTAAGGTTGTTTAATCCATTTGGCAATGATATCAAACTAAAGCACGAAGATAGATCAAGATTAGTCAAATATGTAAGATTATCCAATCTATTTGGCAATAGTGTCAAGCTTGAGCATCCTTTTAGATCTAACATAGTTAAAGATGTAAGGTTGTATAATCCATTTGGTGATAATGTCAAGTTTGAGACTAAAATAGATCAAATTTAGTTAAAGATATAAGATTTTTTAATCCATTTGGTAATAATATTAAGCTTGAGGTCCTTCTTAGATTTAGTGTAGTCAAAGATATAAGTTTGTTCAATCCATTTGGCAATAGTATCAAGCTTGAGCACCAAGATAGATCAAATATAGTAAAAGATATAAGATTACCGAATCCATTTGGCAATAATGTCAAGCTTGAATACAAAGATAGATCAAGTTTAATCAAAGATGTAAAGTTGCTTAATCTATTTAATAATGATGTCAAACTTGAGTACAAAAATAGATCAAGTTTACTCAAAGATGTAAGGTTGTTCAATATATTTGGAAATAATATCAAGCTTGAGCATAAAAATAAATCAAGTTTAATCAAAGATATAAGATTGCTCAATTTATTTGGCAATGATGTCAAGCTTGAATACCAAGATAGAATAAGTGTAGCAAAAAAAGTAAGATTGATCAATCCATTTGGCAATGTTGTCAAGCTTATGCACTCATATAGATTTAATGTAGTCAAAGATGTAAAGTTATTCAATCCATTTGACAATGATATCAATTTTTTACAACTATTTAGATTCAAAGTAGTCAAAGATGTAAAGTTGTCTAATGTCATAGATATACATACTTAATCTAATATTTAGACATATGATTAAGTAGAAGTAGATAAAAATAAATTTATTTCATAATATTTTTTAAAAAAGCTTCTTAAAAGCTTCA